CCACACCATAGACTCCCACGGCTTGCATAAAAACAAAGAGAAAACAAACGCTATTGCGGCAACTGGAAGGCCAACCAATATAAACGATCTAAGAACATTTCTCGGAATGGCAAACTACTACAATAAATTTATTCCAAATTTAGCATCTATAACGAGCCCACTGAACCGCTTGCTGAAGAAAGATTCGAAGTTTCACTGGACTGCAGATTGTGAAGATAGTTTCAAAGCCATTAAGAAAGAAATATTGAGTGATAGAGTACTCACACTCTTTGTCCGAACAAAACCTTTGATCTTAGCCACTGACGCCTCACCTATGGGACTAGGAGCAGTTTTATCACACAGATTTCCAGACGGTTCTGAAAGACCCATAGCCTTTGCATCCAGAACACTATCTAGCAGCGAACGTAAATATAGTCAGATAGACAAAGAAGCCACGGCTATATATTGGGGACTTAAAAAATCTTCTACTACTGCTATGGACGTAAATTTACATTAATTACCGATCACAAGCCACTAACGTCCATTTTTCACCCACATCAAACTTTGCCCACTCTAAGCACGATGAGATTGTTTCATTATGCTCATTACCTATCGGGATTTGACTATGACATAGAGTACAGAACATCGACAAAACATTCGAACGCGGATTACCTATCAAGATTTCCCACTGAAACGTACAAAGAAAACAAAATAGATCAATGCAGTCATTTCCAATTACAACAAATGAATACCTTAGACGTTTGTCCAGATATAATTTCAAAAGAAACTTTAAATGATCCTGAAATGAAGATGTTTCTAGAAGCATTACAACAAGGACAATCAGTCAGAAGATACGGATATCAAGATAATGAACTGACCTTACAAAATGATTGCATACTTAAAGGTACACGTGTAATGATTCCACCAATGTTACGCACACATATATTAAATGAACTCCACGTTGGCCATCCCGGGATGTTGAAGATGAAACTGCTGGCTCGTAGTTTTGTTTACTGGAAGAACATCGACCAAGATATCGAGAATAAAGTAAAGTCTTGCAGAGCGTGTCGATTACAACAGAACGAACCAGCGAAAGCTTCATTACATCATTGGGAATACCCTACTGAGTATGGCAAAGAGTTCACATCGACTTCGCAGGTCCAAATTGGGATTGAAGGTTTTCAGTCAAGTTTTTTGATATCTTGTATAGTTTTCGGGATATCCGCTCTTGAAAGTCTGTAATTATGGAAAAAAAAAATGCCACCACTTCCTGGGAATACTATTTTACTGCTCCCTCGGTGGGAGGAAGACAAGAGATATCAGGCTTGATGGTGGCCACTGATTTCAAGAATGACTTGTACCTGTAGGCATTGAGGGAAATCTCTTTCGCTGGAGCTCCATACCACCTTAAGATGCAGGTTTCACCTGCCTTTTATACTTGAGCGGTGATGGAGAAAGGGTGTGAAAAGACCGCTGCTGCTTTCTGGATTTCTGGTGACTTGATAATGTCTCTGGTCTCTAGGAAGGGAGGAAAGTTCTCAAACCAATCGGTGAGCTTGGCAATGTCAGCTCCATCCTTGTTTTGGCGGGCTTGTCCGAAATCTGCATGCTGCTCACTGGTGGAACCAACAACCTTACGGCGGGCATTGTTGAAGAGTTATCCGGTCAAATAGAGCAAAAATGTGAAACAAAAAGCAAAAAATTTTTTTCCATAATTACTGACTTTTAAAGAGCGGATATCTCGAAAACTATACAAGATATCAAAAAACTTGACTGAATAAGACTTGTAGCAAATTTAATCAGCTTTCACTTTTGTCTAAACAACTTGTGTATAAACTAAAATAAAAATGAATAAAACATGCATCTACTAGTTTCGTGTGTACTGGAAAATAAGTTGTTAAGAAAAGAAAACTTAATGTTCCTACTGGAAAGTCCATCTGCGTTGCTGATCTGATAGAAGCAGGGCCATCCGGTTTGCAAAACAATAAAATAAAAAAACAGACGAAAAAGCAACCAAAACGTACCCTATCTTCATCAACAAGCGGCAGTGATATAAACAAGCGGCATTGAAGAAAAATAATTGTTATGTTAAAATTTTATTATCTTACTACAAAGTTGCTGTAGTTAAGTCAATTTAATTACTTACCAAAGTATAAATATTTTATGTAGCTTTACTTATGAAATTTAGGATTTGTCAATATTTCGTTTCACGTTTGATTAATAAAAATAAATTCGTATTTTTTTTATTTAACTAAATTATTTTTGGGTAAAAACATCCATTTGTGTATTGAGTATGCTAATGGTGACCTGTTGGTTACTTAACCCCAACATGGCTTAAAATGTTTTTTTTTTACAGAGAAAACTCAACGAGCTAAAGTAACCGTCTCCGGGTTCGCCGGTTAAGATGGGTGTTCCGCAGGGCTCAATCCTAGGTCCTTTCTTATTTTTAATTTATATTAATGACTTACCTTACTATGTAAGAGATAACCATGAGATAGTATTGTTTGCGGATGATACATCACTTTTATTTAAACTTAAACGCAAGGAAAAAGTTATTGACGACGTGAACAATTGTATCTCTAAGGTAGTCCACTGGTTCAATGTTAACAATTTATTACTTAATGAAGGAAAAACGAAATGTATATTACCTAATGTAAAACAGGTAAAAACCAGTGTGAATGTAAAGGATAGGAATGTAGGCCTTGTAGACACCACAGTATTCTTAGGGATAACTTTAGATTCTAAGCTTCAATGGGGCCCACATATTGATAAATTGTCAAATATACTTAGCTCTGCAGCATATGCCGTAATGAAGATACGCCAGTTAACGGATGTAGATACGGCCAGATTAGTGTACTTTAGTTATTTCCATAGTGTAATGTCGTACGGAATTTTATTGTGGGGAAATGCCGCCGACATTCAAACAATTTTTGTGCTGCAGAAGAGGGCTATTCGATCAATTTATAATCTTAAAGTTAAAGAATCATTAAGAGATAAGTTTAAAGAATTTGGAATAATGACGGTCGCATCACAATACATATACGAAAATTTATTACTTGTAAGAAAAAATATTAATTTGTTTCTTAAAAACAGTGATGTTCACACAATTAATACAAGAAACAAAAATAAACTAACTTTACCTGCTACTAGGCTTCACAAAATTAATAATTCATTTAAAGGTCTTTGTGTTCGCTTATACAATAAAGTCCCAAGCAATATCCAAGAGTTAGCCATAAATAAATTTAAAGATATTATAAAAAAAACACTTATTAAAAAAGCTTATTACAAAGTGTCTGATTATATTACAGACAAAAATGCTTGGGTTTGAACTGTTCCAATCATTCCAACAGGTTTTCTATATTAAATAAATCATAATTGTATTGACGTTGTAACAACATAATGATTTGTAAATGTTGTTACATTAGACTTTTAATGTTGTGGAGTTTTTTTCGCTCGTTTTTCTCCGCAGCTAAAAAATATGTCCATAACGAGTGGTAGGGAAAAAAAATTTTTTGGACGATTCAAAAGAGTTGTACTATACATACAATTTGAATAAAGATATATTGATTTCTGATTTCTAACCCTCTTCTAAGGCCAACTTTGGCCCAAAATTAAAAAAAAAGTATATTAACCCTTAAACATTATTTCTTCCTATTTTCGAATGTTAACTTTGTAACTCATACCTTAAAGTTCACAATGGAAATATATAAACGTGACATATTCATCACAAAGAGAAGCTACAATTTTATTTGAAAAAAAAAAAGTGCATATTTTAGATCAAAGTAACCCACCGCAGTTACTCGGTACCTATCATGGCAACAATGTATTTAAAGGAAACTAGGTTTTAAATAAAACACAAATTCGCCCATTTAAATACCTTTATTAGAGAATAATATATTATCTGTAACCATAGGTTAAAATAAAAAAAAAATCTTAACTCAGTCATTCCAAATATCACATACGTTCATTGTACAGTGGGTCTCTCAATAAAATACAACCCATAATCAGTCCCCGTAGCATGAGCACCCAATATATATTATGTCACGTTTTTATCGCTTCTCACCGTAAAACTCCATAGTGATTTGACAATATAATTGAGCGTGTTAAAGCCGAGCTATATATATATATATGATATCGCGGTGTTTATGCTAGAGGGGCTGTGAATCATATCGACTAAAGTTTTGGTCATTTTTAATTTAGTTTTACCTCCTTTCGAGGTTTATTTTATCGAGGAACACTGTATAACCATACCTTACGAATTCTTTCATTACGAAAGAAAATAAATCTATATAGATATCTACGAAACTATAAAATAATTCTATATTATCTTAATTTTAAACAGATATGTCAAATCAATATAATATTTTTATAGTGATTAAATAAGATTAAAAGCAAAAATGGTATGTTTCAGATAAGAAAAAAAAACGACGTATCAGGTATTACTTATTTCTTAAAAATAAAACCCTTTTCCTTCAAAGTAATAATTGACGAGATATAAACAAACTACAGCACTAAACTATTCATAGAGTTGATAATAATAGAAAGGCAAGTAATTAAGTCGCAACTAAGCTGTATGTTTAACCGTATCCAAAGAAAAATAACAGTCGAAATCTACCCTACACCTATTCCTAAAACTTAATTGCAATCAAGTTATCGCAAAAATCATCAATACAATACATTACACGTAGTTCTATTCCATAAAATCTATCTCACGATAAAGAATGAATGTCTCTAGCCGGCACTTTACTTGGTTATTCGTATTTGCTTTTTGTAAACTTAACGTGAGTCCGTCCTTATATCCTTTTCATTCCTTATACTGCATCCTTCTTATTAATAAACAAAGACTAGTTACGCCATATTTTGTTCATATCACTCAAGTGACATTTGTCATTCAATGAACAGAGACAAAACATAGAGTAACTAATCCAAGCTTAATCTTCCTTTATTAATAAGGGGGCATGAGTATAAGGAATGAAAAGGACATACTGATGTCAAGTTTACAAATAGCAAACACGAAATGCCGGCATGAAAAATACACAACACAAACTACAAAAGTAATGAAACTGTAAATGACAATGGAACATAATTACTACGTCGTTGTCTGATTACAAGTGAAATGAAAAATGCAGAATCGAAGCCAGTCTAATTCTATTAATTGCAAAATGCTATGGCAAGGCTAATAATACAGCAACCTCCGGCCATATCAGCGCAAGAGATTGTCCTATTATCGACCTTATTTGCATTGCATGCGAATAGACACAAAGACGATATTTATTTAGGTTTGGCAGGCGTCAGAAGGTCCACGACTGCCGCAATATTCCCGTCTGCGCTCTCGAGGAGCTGTGTCAGCCAACCTTCTTCATTGGTGAATCCCATGGCTATCATTTGCTTGATAGCAGCTTCGATGTGCGCTTCTGAAATAAAGGTAATAATACATAGAGATAATGTAACTACATACTAAAGATTACGCAGATGCAATGCAAATTCGGAAAATCTTATTATAGTCGGGAACACTGAAGGTAAAAGATAGCGCAGTCGTTCTACAACAAGATGGACCAGGGCCGGACTTAGAGGTGTGGGGGCCCCGTTTAAATTTAGTTATTTTTATCTCTGTTATGGGGACCCCAGGGCCACAGCTCCGCCTTAAATCCGGCCATGCGATAGACCGACCAAATTAAAGATTCGTCCTCATTTAAATTGTATACATTGGTAAGAGAGGCGCTGGACGGAAACCAGTGGAAGCAGATCGTCTGCTCCAGGAGCAACCCTGACGCTGACCATGATCCTCAGCTATGAGGGACCGACCCCGAAGAGACATACAAAATAAAATAAACAACGATACCCTTCGGTAGTGTTGTCTTTCAGTACGGTCCTGAGCTCAACGGGGTAGGGGTGTGTTTTAATCTAGCGCCCCGGGCCGGTGAAGGTCAATTCATATTTTATAAATTAAAGATAATTATATCAGTAGCAAATGCGTCTACCTGCCAAATTTAATTTAACATCAGTCTCTCCTTTTCATTCTGTTTAGAGAATTACAAGTATACACTGTCGTTAAATTTAAGTTTAGGTTTAGACAATCACGTCATTATCGACACCAATGACCGAAAAAAAATAGGCTCGATCAAATAACGGCCGGTTGATATGTGGTGGTTGAATAGAGACACGAAGATAGCACAGCAAGACAGAAGGTTGGATCGATGTCGGAAAACAACTTAAAACACTCGCCGTGATATATAAAAGACAAAATGCGGTTATTCACGAAACATTAAGGCTTACAACTCCAGATTGTAGTCCAGATTGACCAAAGATGCAATCGCCTAATATAGTCTCATAATATTACCTATGCCCTGTACGTTGATAGGTTTTTATTATCTGCACGGATATTTTGGCAGCGATTTAATTCTGCTCCCAGTCCAGCATGGGAATGTTAGAATACGTTAGTATTCATTCTATTAATCTACACGCGCAAAACACCAACATGTAAAATGTATAGACAATTTATTTAAGAAATTGAATGTAGAACAACTGTTATCATATCAAATGGCTTGATTGATCTATGTGCCATTTTCTTAGGCTATTTTTATCGACATGAATCATTTTGTCGCATTATTCACTTGTTTTTAAAAGCATTTTCTTTATTCAACTGATATACAATTTGTGTCACTTCAAATTGGTGAAATCCAAATATTTATAATAATATCCAATTTGGTGAAATGAAATGCCGGCATGTTAATGCACAACACAAATTACAAAAGTATTGAAACTGTCTTTGTATGATTACAAGTGAGCCAAATATTTGGTTTAGCATTTGCAATTATGGTAAATGTATCACCATTTCGGAACTCTACCTAATGCTTCTATTGTTAGCAATATCCTATCTACCAGGTGGTAGATAGTTTATTTTATTAAAATAGGTAAACAACATTTGTTGTTGCCAAGTGCGAGTCGGACTCGCTACCGTAGGATTCCGTATAGCAAACAGCGAAAGCAAGAATCGTTTGTTTGTTTTTGTCACAATTTACGGAGTCCATTATGAATCGGCGTTTTCAGTATTTGTTGTTTACATACATCATAAACTAACATTTTACATTCCTAACTAGTTTAAATTTTGAGATAGACCCCATAACAAAAATGGTCTAAAAATACAACCTTTTTTACTTCCTTTAAAATAATAAAAATTATATTTATATCCTTCTCAAGAAGCTCTAGTTAGACAATGATGTGTCACATGCTGGGGTAAAAAGGAAAAAATATTAAATAGATGTTATTAAATAATGAATATAGATAAATTATTTAATTGAATTGTTAGCTAAATATTCGGCTTTACACTACATAAAATACCAAAATTTCAATTGTGTAACTTATTCCGTTTACAATCTGAAGACCCATGACATACAGACAGACAGACGACAGAAATAGGGCTCCATTTTTATTTACCCTTTGGGTACGGAACCCTAAAAAACCGAACCTTTATTACATAAGATTTTTTGATTAGTACGTAATAGAGCACTTACTTGGATGTGGCCGGGGTTTGGGAGCTGCCTGTTTAGGTTGGGGTTGAGAGTTGTTAGCATCCAAAGAAGCTTGGCTTGCTTGAGGTTCCGTCGGTTTAGCTGGCTGAGGCTTCAGAGGCGTGCCCGGCTCTTTAGGATTCAATACTGTTTATTAAAATAAGTGATAATGATATCGAATAACTTGCACAAATGATAATGAAGAATATGATGGTATGAATGGTTTTATATTGAACCACATTAAATATAATTTATAATAGCTAAACACTGAACAAATAAATATTTTTATTATTCCATTCGAATATTCAGAGTAATTTTTGTCATCATAAAAATAAGATTTGATGAATATCATTAAGATAATCATCAACTTTATAATAGCCCATACTCATAGGAATATTCTTGGTCTGAGATTAAAATTTGGTCCTTATTTAAATCTCTATCATATCTGGAGTAACTTTATTAAACAGTGCAATGCTATAAACCCAGAAATGAACCTCTTGATTTTTGGAGTCTAAAAATGGAACGGAAAGCTTGTTCTTAAATCTTGTGTAACAGTTATGGGTTTGACTTTTTTTGCAAATGCCTCATTGTTTTTTCTTAAATATATTATTTTTTCATAAATGTACTGCGACGCCAGTGTTAAAATATTAGTTTCTTTAAATTTTTCTCTAAGAGAAGGTCTTGCCTTCAAGTTGTATATGGCGCGAACAGCTCTCTTTTGCAGTATGACATAGAACAAGAATTAAGATTTCTAGTTGTTTTGAATAATGCACTAGTAAAGACATTTTCAAATGTGTTGGCAACTGCAACATCTGCCCTAATTATCTTGCTGTCTATTTCTGAAGAATATATTCGTTCATTAAATTTATTTCTTCCAGTTTCATTATTAATTATATTTCAAGTTGTCTTTATTTTATTATCTGAGAGACTTAGTTTTTTTGAATAAAAACGTATAGATTCCTGTTGGATTCTAAAAAGACTAACAATAAAGAGTGCGAAGTTGCGGACGTACGATAGTAATATTATAATCATACTAAAATTATAAATGTAAAAGTATGTATGTTTATATTTATATGCTCGTAACTCAAGTCGCGTGCAAGGGCTAGAGAAACATAAAATGAGGATGCAGTGTTATTAAAAGTTAAAATAGCAAAATACCTGCAGCAGCAGCATGGAGTGGCGGATAGAGGCTCTGACCTTCACTGATACTGACGTGTTGCCGAAACTCTTCAGGCAGATTGAAACCAATCGGAGGCGAAGGTTCAGCAGGGGCAGAAGGCTTATCATCTCCATCCATCAAGTCTAAAAATAAAATGAAAAAACTATGTTTCTGCCTAAACTCAAATTATAGTGATGGAAATTTAAAAATACCTTGATCTTACAACTGACTGTGACTAAAAATTTTAATTGAAAGAACAAATACTCTTTAATATATATACCTTTATCCTTGTTGATCACAGTCCATCCTTCAAATTTTTCAGGAGATGCATCCTTTACGATCCTAGTACTACCAGAAGCTGAATCCTCTGACTTAACACTCACTTTATCTGTTTCCTGTGGTTTGGGCTCTGATTGAGCCATCTCTACATCATTGTCATTGGCATTGGGTGTATTTACACCAGATGTTGTTTGGGCTGTAGGTTGAGCCTGTTGCTGCAACTGTGACAACAGTGTTCCATTGAAATAGGCCTCAATCAATTTTGGTAAATTTTCCATGCCTGGTACAAAGGGACATTCAGGAATGTTAGGTTTCGAGGTGGAAGGCTCGGCTTGTTTTGGAGCATCTTCAGGGTTTTCGGGAGCAGTTTTCGGCTGCTGCGTCTTTGGATCAGATGGTTGGGATTGTGACAACAGTGTTCCATTGAAATAGGCCTCAATAAGTTTTGGTAAGTTTTCCATGCCTGGTGCAAAAGGACATTGAGGCATATTAGGTTTGGAGGTTGAAGACTCAGCTTGTTTTGGAGGAGTTTTAGAATTTTCAGGAGCAGTTTTGGGAGGTTGTTGCTGATCCTGTTGAGTCTTCGAATCAGACGGTTTGGATTGATCAGTATCGACGCCGACGTCGCCAGCTAAGTTGGCAAATTCGTTCATGTAAGTGGTGAAGGTCTCGAGCCAGCTGGTACGCGGCCGGCGATGATGGTCACCTCTATTCTGGTCATGGTGATGACGATCTCCGTAATGGTGTCTGTCGCCGCTCCTGTCGCGCCTATGCCTCTTGTTATGGTTATCAGCCGTAGCACCAGCGACAGTCTTCAAAAAGTGGCGAGACCTCTTGATAGCTGCCTTGATAAGATGACGCTGTAAGAACAACTGAGTATATTTTCACTGTTCATAATGTAATTAAGATTTAAAACATAATTTTTAGCTTTAGAAGGGACCTGTATTTAAAACCTATAAATAATAGCAATTACTTACAGGCATCACAGGGGATGGCACTCGCACCATGCAGTGTTCAGGGTGTAGACCTGATGACTCACACTTGGAACACAAGTCATAGTCTTCGCAAGAGGTGCACTTGTAGCGGAAACCCACAACTGGATTGTCACAGCCATCACAGACCACTCCATAGTGTGATGGTGAGCAGGGATCGAAAACTATGAAAAAATATATGTAGTTCTTTAGTGTGGAAACAAAATTAAACAAGTATTTGTTGTAAAGGATTTGTAAATATGAAATTTTGGTGTTAATTGAATTCTAAAATTTCCTTTGTGTATAGACTGACTGTTTTTGTTTTGTATCTGTCATATTCATATTCTGGTGTGTCACAAGGTGTACATCTAGGTTCTATGTTTATAACCTGATTTAAGTCATCACTTCCAGCAAAACTGTCTTTTAATCTATGATGATACAACCTTTATCTCCCTTATAAAGCAGTGAAATAAAAAACATAAACCCTACAATAACAAAAAATTATCTCAAAATAAAATATGAACATATATAAATTTGATTCTTGAGATCTAATGTGCAATTGATCATATTTGTTGTGAATATCTATCTTTTAACTAGTGGAGTATTATATGGAGGATATTCCTTAGCTTTTGCCGAGACCTACTATCCTCCTCCATATAGATGTATATATACTTAATGACTAAACTTACCAGGAGTGGTCTCAGCTTGGTTAGAGGTAAATATGATGTCACATACTTCTTCTTTAGGGCTATCACACTTCACATAAAGGTTCAACCTAACAAGGTTCCCATATAATGCTGTCAAAGCAGTCATCAACTCTTCATCAGAAGAAATAGTTACATCATCTCCATCCTCATCTAAAATAATAACAAACTATATTAAAGGAGTACAGTCATAAGCTATGTAAATATTGCAAACAAAGCTCTCTTTAATTAGTCTCATTAATCACATATTGCATCATCTTACCTTTCCAACTAACAGAATAAGTCTTTCCCCTTAGTCCAGGATAAACATCTTGAAGTTTAGCATTGAGATAGTGGAAACTTGTCACCACTGACTTGTCCACCCCGAAACGGCGCACCTCTGGTTTGGAATCATTATTCCAAAAAGCAAAAACTTTGAACGGAACTTGATCTTCCATAGCTATAACAAAATGGATGGGTAACATTGTATTCAGAAGCTGAATACGAGAAACTTAATGCAGTTCTTTGTATCAATGGAAAAATCCGAATCCTAGAATCAGCTGCGGCCATTTTATAACATCCATTTACATTCAAGTATAGAAAAATAAATGTATGCTACGCAATAATCTACCAATACAATGGGAAATATATAAATTATGACACTCACCGATCCTGCAAATTAACAAATGTATTAACACAAAACTTTAAAATGCACGGACACGTCTTCTCTGAGAGCAAATTTATCGTAATGTTGTGATACAGTAGCGTCACTCGCGATAAATACTATTTTGTGTATGAATCACCGACACGACCGAACATTGGAGAAAAAATATTTTGTTGTGCAATACAGATGTCAAAACAAAAAGTCATGTTTGCGCTCCACAGATTACGAAAGGCTTCGTTCCAAACCTACACTCCAGGTGCAACAAATGTCAATACCTATTTAAGCTTCATAAACAAGGTGATTAACGTGTCCGTCTGCTAAAGTACACAACATCGAGTTCGAGGTTGTTACTTATGCTTATAAAATAGTGCCTAATTAGTGAAATATTAAAAAAAAACGAGCGACACGCGTATGATGTGTAACATTTGAAACCTCTCCTCTATACGAATAAGCCATTTGAACATTAAGTTCTAAAATCAAATCAAATAGCGCGCGCTTTCGCGACTTCCTATTACATACTTCCGTCCCATTTGACGAAATCACTCTCACAAATTGCAGGAAATCGGGACGAATGATGTTACACCTCAAAAATCTTCCTCTTTAGTTTAGGAAATAATAACTGTTCTCATGGTGTACGTTGGTGCGACGATTAAGGTAGCGTACAATAAGCCATTCTCGAAAACGGCTTATTGTTATGAAAACAAATTTTCACAGAAATTAGAAAAATGCTTCTAGTGCTCTAATAGTGCCCAGACTATGCAAAGTTCACAATCATAGCTCAAAGAAAAAAAGATATAAAACAAAACTTATAAATAACCTTTTGGCTGGCGTCATGGTAGCGAACCACACAAAGTGCATTTAGAAACGATAAATTATTACAGTTAAATAATATTTTTTAATACTTACATTTTATAGGTCAAATTGAAACGTCAAATTAATGCACTCGACATTGAAACGTCAATGTTTTGAACGTAGCCCAAGATTGTTGAAAGTATTTTTAAAGGACAATGGTCAAATTGGGCCTAATGACCAATACACATGAGATATTGTTTTTGTGATAGGTCATAACACACAACTAACGAGAAAAATAATAAAAAAAACAAATGTACCGGGTTTTTGTACAGTTACGTCGAAAAGTTTTATTTAATTATGTCAAATATTTTTCAATTATTAAATGTTTTTCAATAGGAGTGAAAGAATATTACTTTAAAATAATGACTAAAGTCACTAATTCTAACCACATAGAGCCACATGGGATCATAATAACACAATATACCTGTTACAAAAATAATAATAAGTGTATTTCGACTATTAGAGGACGTAATAAAAGTTCTATGTACCTATGCGACAGTGAATTGCAGACCGTTGCTTATTATATTGGCATTGTGTGCGATTAGTCCTCAAGCAAGATAACACGCGAATGCTAACGGGGCGCGTGAGAGAGAGAAAACTGTTGACCTTGGACAAGCGCCCGCGCATAGCAGGTAAGTAAATCGTTTCGTTCGACTGTTTTATTCAGTGGTCAGTCGTATTCTCCGCTTCTGACAGTGAAGTGCTCCTATTATTCTTACTTTTAACGTATTTCTACGCGCTCCTGCGACAATAAACCGCATACAGGAACGGGTACACACACTTAACATTTTGCAAGAATATGTAGAGCGAAAGCATCTTAACAGACAAAGGATTTCTTTCGTGAGAATAGAAGACAATCAAATAGAGGACTTTCCACATTTGACTGAGGAAGAAATAATCCTTTTTGCGCTGGGCACATATCAATTGAAACTGGCAAGGTCTTACTGCAGTGAACATTTACGCGATGGCGTTTACATAATTGAGGTTTATCGAGACGATCAATTAGAAGATTTGACAGATTTTAATATCTGTCAAACAAATGTTTTTTTGATTAGACTTCATATTCAATCACGACATGCGAGGGCGCGCGAGTATCGTGGCTACATATTAATTGACAGAGACCAAACTGGCATCAGCTCTATTTTACAATATTATTGTACTTGTCTGACCGGAAGTCGTACGCTGGGAAGCTGTGCGCACATTTCATCCGTAGTTTAGTATATGAGCTTAGCTAGATACGAAGGATTTAACCCTCCAGCCGCATTTTTAGATTCTACTATTCTGGATATAGACTAATGTAAAAAAAACTTGTTGTTTCATTTATTGTATTTATATTATTTATTTATTGTATATTATACGTAGTTGTCGATGGATGTCGTAAGAGGCGTTTTAAATTGCAAATATTGCAATCAACAGCATTTGGGAGTGGCTCCAGTGCTCTTTTAGGGTAATATTCCTTCATTCGTATTGAAAAACAATTATTAATTGCAAAATATTTAACTTAAATAAATAAAACTTTTCGACGTGACTGTACAACAACCCGGTACATTTAATTTTTTTTACTATTTTTCTCGTCAGTTGTGTGTTATGACCTATCGCAAGAACAATATCTCATGTGTATTGGTCAGCAGGCCCAACTCCCATAGTGTTTTGCCCATTGTCCTTTAAGTGCTAGTAGCATTACTCTCATAATCATACAGCCAAATCATCAATAATTTGTATGTTTTCTGCGGTGACATTCACAATATGAGATACATTTATACAAGGTATATAAATACCTTAAGAAAATTTAACTTAAAAAAAATCCACTCGGTCCAGGTTTCCAGACGGCATTCGAACCCGCATCTTCCGCTATTCGGGCGGATCACCTCTGAAACCTGAATCGAGTGGATTTTTTTCTGAGTAAATATTTAGCAGTTAAATGTGTTAATTAAACCTTACTTATGTATATTAAACTCCTTGAATAGTATGTCCAATTGCATCATCTTATAATCTTAAATAGAGTTTATTTAAAAATACCTACATGCTCTAAGACCTAGGGTTAGTGAAGTGTGCGTAACTATTCGAAACAACTAAAAAATCCTAAACTTGACTGCAGACCTGCCTATCATGTAGAGTTAAATATGAAAGTTATGTTAATTTTCTATGTAATGCAACTATTATTTTATTTTCCTTCTAGCAATGAATCATCACAGAAAGAATAAAAATTTAATTTGAGTCATCTAAAGGTACTATTTCATGCATCGCGATCGATCGCGGCCGCGCGCGGCCTACGTACTGTCGTCTGTCGCTCGCGACAATAGTCATAGTATGAAAATGTATGGCACCGCTTCCGAGGCCTACGACTGTCGTGAGCCGCGCGCGGCCGTGCGTATCTGGACAATGGACATGCTTAGCGCTCAGTAACATCTTGGATTTCATGGCGCTAACATGTTTAGGAACGTAGGAGAAAATTTCCAAAACTTCTTTTCATGACAATACAAATGCTTTTGAATCAATATTTGGTAGTATCCTTCTTCGTTTGTGCTTTTAAAGATAGGGTCGATTGGTTCTTCTTTTTTCATAATATAACAACAACCACTCGTCATCCTCCTCTTCTTCTTCAAGAATGTTAACTAGCACTTCGACAATGAATTTGACTTCGGTAGACACACGTCTAGAGGGATCTGCCGAACAACACCGACTAACTTTGAGACACGGCCGCGCGCGGCTCACGACAGTCGTCGGCCGCACGCGTCTGTCGCCGACCTCGGAAACGGTGCCATACATTTTCTTTCATACTATGACTATTGTCGCGAGCGACCGACGACAGTCGTAGGCCGCGCGCGGCCACGATTGATCGCGATGCACGGAATAGTACTAAAGTTTCTTAAAGACGAGCGGCTCCCAGCCGACCAGAGGTAGCGCAACTGCCGAAAGGTGGCGACGGCTGCAGATGTGCGCTGCAAGCCGTTCGTCGAATTTTATCACGCTTTTATTAGGTCAACTTGTATGTAACTAAATATGTAATGAAATCTAAGAATCTGAATTACACACATTTCTAATTCTTTGAAATTATATGTAAATTAGATGACAATACAATATTATGGTATCATCGAGCTGGTCTGATGAAGGGACTGAAAGGTGGCTGACGGAACCTTGGACTGCCTACTAGTAAACATATCGAGTTTGGGCTCATTAGATTCGCCTTAACATATTCTATTAATTTTTCCTGATGACGAGGACTTGACGATGGACTGAAAGGTGACTGATGGACCCTGGACTGCCTACTAGTAAACAAATCGAGTTTGGAGTTTTGGATTGATGAGATTCGTCCTAACATAATAAAACTTTGCAATTATATGTAGATTAGGTGACAGTACAATATTATGGTATCATCGAGCTGGTCTGATGATGGGACTGGAAGGTGGCTGATGGAACCTTGAACTGCCTACTATTAAACATATCGAGTTTGGGCTCATTAGATTCGCCTTAACATATTCTATTCATTTTTCCTGATGACGATGATTTGACGATGGACTGGAAGGTGACTGATGGACCCTGGACTGCCTACTAGTAAACAAATCAAGTTTGGGCTCATGAGATTCGTCCTAACTAACATTATAAAACTTTGCAATTTTAAGTAGATTAGGTGACAATACAATATTATGGTACCATCGAGCTTGTCTGATGATGGGACTGGAAGGAGGCTGATGGAACCTTGGACTGTCTACTATTAAACATTTGAATTTGGGCTCATTAGATTCACCTTAACACATTCTATTCATTTCTCCTGATGACGAGGACTTGACGATGGACTGGAAGGTGGCTGATGGACCCTGGACTACTTACTAGTAAACATATCGTGTTTGTGCTGATTACATTCGTCTGCATATATTCTGTTCTAAATACGCTTTTAATTAGGTCCTTACTATGTAATGAAATCTAAGGTAACTAATTTAACCAATCCAATCTTGAAAGATTTAAACCATCTTTCAAGGATCGTAGCATAATGAAAATTGGCAGCTGTATGTAGTTCTGATGACAATATACAATAAATAAATTAAAAATAAATAAAAACGCGCTTTTATAAATGCATGTAAAAACCAAAAATAAATTAAAGATTGTTCAAGTTGTCGCTATTTCTGGACTAAGTGTTAAACTCTTAATTATTCTATTAAATATAATGATGAATATCGCATTACTAATATCTTGATTTCTCAGCAAATTAAACAAAATGTCTTTCATGTTCCAGCGCCCCACGCTTTTACAATCAAATATTATAATTAATGGCACATAGTTTACACTTAGCCCAGAAATAGCGACAACTTCAACAATCTATAATTTATTTTTGGTTTTTACATGCATTTATAAAAGCGTGTATTTCTAGTTTTTTTTTTTGCCCAAAGCCTTTATCCATACTTATATTATAAATGCAAAAGTATCTGTCTGAACTCTTCACTTCAAGCTTAACCACTGAACTGATTTAGACAAAATTTGGTATTTTTTATTCTAGAAATCATGTTTTAAGGGAAAGTTTGTATGAAAATTTGGAAAAATTGAAAAGTGCCTAAGGCACTTTTTTACAATAGTTTCAAAACTTTAATATCTGAAAATAACTTACAACAATAATAAAAAATAACATAAATAATGTTTTATTTTCTTAAAGCTTACTTAACAAGACATGAATAATATTAATTAATAAGGATGAAATTTAATTACATCTAAACATTAATCTTGGTGTGGCTTATTGTGTTTGCCTATTTTATTTCCATTGAACCTCTCATCTGCAAATGTTGGTGGACCTCCTAGTTGTGTTGTTTCAGGGACATTTAATTCTTCATTTAGTTTCTTGGCCAAGAAATATATTTCCGCTAGTGCAATTATCAATGCACACATCACACCAAGGAGTAATCTAAATCCAAAATCTAGATTACCCACCATCCATTCAACACCTCTAAATCCAAATAAGAAACCAGCAAAAATTGATATTATGAACTGTCCAATTGCAATTAATTGTCGATTCATTTGCTTCACTGAAATTTAAAAAAAGTTTTAGTCAGAGATATTAATCAGCTATATCATATATCAACGAATCAAATGAAATTATCTATTTTGCGAATTGTATTATATTCATATCTCCCAAAATAAAAGACAATTTGTCTTTACTTACATTGATACGAGATACTATCCTCTGGAAATCTCATTCTTACATTATCTACACCTTTGGTCATTTTTCTGTATTCCCTAGCTTCCTGCTGAGCTCTAAGTTTTACACACCGAGCTTCTAAAATTGGATTCCTTTTTATTATTTCATTTTCAGGTAGTTGTATTTTGGAACCTTCTAACAACTCGTGCAAATATGGAACCTCTTTACCTTTGTTTTTCTTCTCTCTTACATAATTGTACAGCCAATCTATATCAAATGTATTAAGAAATCCAAGTTTTCCATTTAAATGATCTTCACTTTCAATATTTTTATCTGAAGCTTGTTTATCAGATTTTCCTCCCTTTTTATGATCTTCGTTTTCACCAGTCTTGGAAATGTTGAAACATTCTTCTTTATCAACACTTGTTTCTAAAGCTTGTTTGTCAGATTTTCTTTCCTTTTCAGGACCTTCACTTTCAACAGTCTTGGAAGCATTAAAACAATCTCCATTTTCCAAAAATTTATCTGAAGCTGGTTCATCATTTTTACCACTTACATGTTTTTTTTCATTATCTTCATCATCAGAACTACATACCCCATTGGGATATAATTTATTTTTAATTCTTCGAATGTTGTCAACATCATTTTTGTTCAAATAAATATTACTAGGTTTTGAATTTGCATTATCATTTTCTGATTCATATAGTTCACCTTGGATTAGTTTTCTAATATTTACAGGTATGTTATCTCCAAGTTTTTCACTTTTCAAAAATGTATTTAACTTATTTGATGGGTATATTCTCAATTTGGTGTCTACTAATGAACCTCTGAGGTCCATGATTCAATTGTTAGCTATATTAAGTTTATGATTTAAATCAGCATATAAATCTCTCAATTCCTCTTCTTTTTCCTCAAATGCGTTATCAATTCTTTTACATTTAAAGTTCATATCATCAATGAATTGATCCCATTCCTTTTGTCTTTTCTCACGATTTTCAGTTATTTTCTTTTCAGCTTCCTGTAATAGCAAATCTTCTAGTATAGAAGTGACATAAACTACAATTAATTAAATTGGTAAAAATATAATTCTTACCTCATTCACATTTAAGTATTCATTTGTAATGCTTTCACAAAGTTGTAACGCTTGACCTAGTTTTTCACTAAAAATTGGCAGTGTTTCAGAGCCTTTTTTAATTTTCTCAACTTGACTATCCTTTATTTCAGTGACTTTTTCAAGTATAAAAAACAAATTCTCTACTTCCCTATCTCCACGTTTCTCCTGTGAATCAAATAATGTTTACCCGATCAATAACCTGTGCTTATGTTTTAATAACAATGAATAATGGGCCGTCACCTACCTCAAATTCTCTAAGCATAAATTTTATTTCACCATTTAGAAACGGGCGGTGGTCAAACAATCTCGTCCAGACTTCACCTATTTCTAAAAGAGGAATTATTATTTTTTACAATGAAAAGACAATAGGTACGTAGCTTCTAAGTGTTAAACACAAAATCTTCTTTTCACGAACCCAATACAATGTTTGTGTCAAGGGTCAACGTCATCCACGTCGCCAGTAAATTTAATCTGAACTTTCGTTAAATTCTTTACTATAAAAGTTATTGAAAGAATATTTATACTTTCTTCTAGACCTACCTTTATCGGGTTGAAATTCTGTAATTTTTCAAATTAGAAAGCTATGGTACTTAAAAAAAATACAAATTTACTAACCTCGTGACAGTTCCGTCATTGTCATTATCACTCATTTTGTCTTCTATCATTCATTTCTATTGCCTCTATGGTTTGTAATGTAGTAATAATTTCCGTTTCATATAATGCGTTCAATTGAATACAATTTTTAATAATGGCTTTCCGGGATGTAAATGAAAAAATGCAATAGAAAATATGAAACGGAAAGGGGTCACGAGCGTCACATGACTATATATGTAACCGTCTAACTGTGGCCACAATTCCAACGCGTACGAAGGAATTTGGTGAATCATTTCTTTGTCGCACTATCCGTAAATGGAATTCTCTGCCTGCTCACGTGTTCTCTTTAAAATGCAGGCCAGCAAGGTGAGGTTGGCTGGTGTGGTAGGTAGACCTGCTGTTTATATATTATTTGAGAAAAGTACAGACTGTCAGATTGTAATCAAGACATAACAGAGGTATTATTGATTTGAAATGTCGCATAACGTCAAGCCTTGGTGGCTTAGATTGTTTTTTTTTTATGAAATACTTATTTACAGAGTTATTCATGAAAAACCGTCTGAAAGCGTGTTTCTTTTTAAATTGTCGTTTCCACTCTCGAATAAATAAAAAAATATTGCCTATGAGTGTAAATATTTATCGAAAAAAGTTGCTTAGAATTAGTCAGTCTATCCATTACCATTCAAAATTTTAAAATAAAATATTTTTTTATCCCTAAGAAGGGATGGCGTCTATTCTCAGGGTAAAAGCAACCTTTGGCACATTGACAGCTTCGAAGTAAATGGTAAGTAGAACCTTCAGCCAGATTTTGGTGCTTATCGGTGATGTTTGGTAGAATTGCTAGGGAAAACTGTGCATTAACTAGACTATCTGTACTTGTAATTAAATAAGTTTCACCTATGAGTAAATGATAATGTAGGACAGGACAGGCGGTGGCGCATAATCTTAGTTAGCCTAGAGCGGCCAGAACTCTAAATCAACCACTGCCTTGGTTGCCATGTTTCGAAGTGCAAAGTAGTTAAATTTTAAAAAACACGACAGATATGAGTTTACTAAAATATGTACTTTATTCGGCCATTAATCTCGGCAGATATGGATTCGCATACAACTTTTGCCGGCCGCTGTTTACATTATATGGCCAGTACCAATTTCGATTTATCTCGAAGAAGGTTGTCAAAATAATGCTCCCAAGCATGTTTGAGATAAATATTTTAAATACCTATTTAGTCATCATCATCATCAGCCTATTAATGGCCCCACTGCCGGGGCACAGGCCTTCCCTATGGATGGAATAATGGAATAGGGAGTTTTTGGGCCATGGTGGGTCATGGCCCAAAAACTCGGGCCCATTGCGGATTGGTGGGTGCTAAGGACTACAGATGCAGTCGAGACCAACAGCTTAACGTGCCTTCCGAAGCACGGAGGAGCTCGAGATAGTAAATTTTTGGTCAACCATCCAATAAGCAGATGTCATGAAAGTTGCTGTCGTGTCGAGCGTATCCTCCATTGAGGATATCTTCTCGTAATTAATTATATGCTGGAAAAAAAACTTATGGTAATATGTCCCTTCTCTTCAAACGTTTCACATATTCACGAGTAGTGAGTCTGGTTGCAAGTGTATTTGGGTGATTTTCGAGCCGGTTTCGATATTTATTTGTGGCAGGCTGGATTTCTTCTACCACAGTGGTCATGCTTAGATTTTCATGGATCTCGGAATTGGTGATAAACCATGGCACATTTGCTATTTTTCTGAGGACTATATTTTGCATCCTCTGAAGTATATTAATGTTAGATTTGCTTGCACTCCCCCAAAGTTCGATTCCATATGTCCAGGATGGTTGTAGTATTGATTTGTATATTAGGAGTTTGTTGTCCATTGATAATTTGCTGTTCCGGCCTAGCATCCAGTAGATGTTCTTATGTTTTAAGTTTAGCTCCTCTCTTTTCTTTATGATGTGTTCATTCCAGGTAAGTCGACGGTCCAGGTGTAGTCCAAGATATCTTACGCTATCTTGTTGTGGCAGTGTAATATTCTCCAGTCTAACGGATGGGCAGTTTTCTCGTCGGAGTGTAAATGTAACATGCACCGATTTTGTTGCACTGGCTTTAATTTTCCATTTTTGGAGCCATTTTGTGATGTCGTTAAGTCCCTTTTGGAGATTTGCCGAAGCCTCGTGAGGATTGCTACTACTAGCCCATATCGCTGTATCATCGGCATACGTTGCGGTCATGATTCCATCCACTTGAGGTAGGTCTGATGTATAAATCATGTAAAAGACCGGTCCCAGCACAGAGCCCTGAGGTACACCTGCTTTAATCTCGTAAAACTTAGACGTTGAATCTGATTCTTTCACTTGGAAGATTCTATCTCTGAGATAGGAATCCAGAAGTGGGAAGCAACCATGAGGAAGATATGTTTTTAGCTTGCTCAGAAGACCCGCATGCCAGACTCTATCAAAAGCCTGTTCAATTCATGACATCTGCTTATAGTAAATTACTGATTGCAGATAAACACACACAAAAAAAAACCATCCAATGACCGACCACTGCGAAAGTTGCTTAACTTCAACGATCGCAGCCGAACGCACTAAGCTCTTGTGCCATCGAGCTCCAATTACCAATTTAGTGCTGTGCCTTAAAGCTACTAAATTAAGTATGTATAAATGTTCAGCCCTTCAGTTTAAAGGGGATCGCGAAAAGAGTAAGAGAAAAAATGGGCATCTGCTTCCGGCTAGGTAGAGAACCCAGCAATCGCAAGTTTAGAGAAAACTGAAAACTTTACAGCAGTCTCTACTTTCATTATCTATAAAACATGATACCCCGGGGGTCTCAAATAATGCGATTGTGTTTCAAACATGAACAATTAATGTTTAATTTTTTTCAAATTAATGAATGCGTAAAATTACTAAACTATCTGCTGATTATAAATGCTGTTCGCAAAATCTGATCCAAGTTTTATTGCTACTAAAAAAGTAATAAAAACGCATTTTAAACCCGTTGTAAAAAAATGTTTTATTAAATGAGTGGTGTGCGTGAAAACTTATGAAAAAAATAGGTATGCTCTTACTTCAGTATTTTCATTTAGGCTGGTGTGATGATGCTTGATTTCCATTTCGAAATTAAAAACTTTGGAACGCAGTCATACTCCACCCGAATTATATACAACTCGTTCCCATTTCCCTTGTCAATGTTTCATTCGTTCATTCTTTCGTAGACAACCAATCGAATAAAGGCTTACTTGATGCTTGTTGCGGTGCTTGCTTTTGATTTGACCATGGATTTGACACATAACTATAGAGTGATTGTAGCATTCCTTCATTCTTGCAGTGTTTCCACTTTTAGAGACTTTTCCCTAATATAGGGCAAAACCATTGTTTGGAAGGGATGTTTTATTTTTATTTCTTAGGATTTTGGTTAATTCTTGGTATGACAACGGTATATATATATATATATATATATGACTTGTAATGTATACTTTATTGCTCATTCACTTGCATAATTCGCATTATTGTTTTTAATGAAAACTGATTTTAAATTGCATTTTTATTGTCTATTTCCTATCATTTAAGGGAATAACTAACTTTTAAGGAAGTCTCGGACCGAAGTCTAGTTTTTCTCAAAACTGTGATAAGAATCGCAAGCAATCAAATATGGTTCGAGACATAATGCTCTGGTAAACACATTTTTTACTTCATTCATTTCATTTTCATACAAGTCCACCGGCTTTTGCGGCTTCTGACGTCACATCACCTACCATTAGAATGCGATCAATTTGATCGTAAAAATCTTGATTTTCCTCAGCTTCTGCATCCTTCTTTATTTTACCTCGTCCATCATCCTTATCCTAATTGCTTGCTCCTACTTGCTTCTTAACACTTTAAAAATACATTTCTAAAAATCTGGGGTAATTCTAAACCCGATTGTGGGAACACTGATACATTCGTTCGGTCGGCCCCGGAACCGTCCGTCAGTCAGTTCCTTTTTGGTCATTGTTTATTGGTATGGGTGGGTACGGTACGTTGGTTACGGTTTTTTATTTATGTTGTGACAGTGAATAGTGAGTGATATCGTTTATTATTTCGCAGTGTTGCGTTTGTGTATCACGATGTGTACAGTTACATTTTCAATATTCGCTCTCTGTATTACATGATACTATATTGGGCGAATGTGTACAGATTTTGATTGTGTGCAAATTCTTTGAGTGAAGTGATAATCATGCCGGGTCTATGTATTGACGAATTTATTGAGGAAACTCGCGAAGATTATAATTCTCCGACTACGTCTACATTCGTATCGCGAATGCCACAATGCCGTCAGACCATCAATTCATTGGAAGAGGTATGTATATTAATATAAACTTAATATCGTCTGGAACTACTTACGTCGCTATTTTTTTCTGAAAGATTGTTGAGCAAAATTTTCGTATTATTCATTGTCATCTTAGCAATATAATTTGGACATTATTGGAGACAGTAAAAGTGGATCGAGTTACGAACCAGATCTCTGTGTCGATGGTCAATAATACCTTGCTGCTGGAAGGTACAAAGGCCAGAAGAACACCAATAATACCCAGGCAGAAGTTATCTAACATTTTAACAGTAGAACTTTTTAATGAAAGTGTTAGGCACGTTAGACATATTGTATTTCCATAAGATTTTATAATCCTATAGAGTATAGATGGATTTCAAGTTTGTTTTCCGCCCTGAACATTTTTTTGTTGCAGAACATGTTTCAACAATCGTAGTAGCATGAAATATTGTCAAAAGTATAAAGTCCATGTAGATAAATTTAATAAAACAATGGTCCCAACTCTGGCATGATTATCTAAACCTAAAAAAAATACAAAAGTATATCCTTGCTATTCTTTGTACAGAATCAGAATGATAGACTGTTGCCAAAATTAAAGTTTAGAGAATCATGCCAGAATCAGGACTTCCGGGTTGACTTTGGATTTATTTATAAAAATATAATAAAGACAGGTTTATAGACAGTATCTAAGGCAACTTATTTTTGAGTTGTTTTCCACTTTTTTACAATAATTGGTATACATTACATTAGTTGTTAAGTACCTACTATATAGTTTGTATTGACTGGTGCTACCCCTCTATGCCTATGGTATTTCTGTCTTTTAATTTTATATTCTTGTATTTTAATTTATTAATTTACACCTTTTTTGTTCTACCTCGCATCCGACAAATGACTCCACCCCACCTGATGTTATGTGAGGGTGAAGTCCAGATGTGAAGATAGCTGATACAGCAGTTCTACCTGCCACACCAGCCATCCTCACTGAGCTGGCCTGCATGTTGCTTCTTCACACCTCTTTTAAAGGATCCCAGGTTGTAAGAGGGAGGGAACATGTGAGCGGGCAGGGCATTCCATTTACGGATAGTGCAACAAAGAAATAAGACCAAATTTCTTTGTACATGTTGGAATTGTGGCCACAGTTAGACTGTGACAAAGTAGGCCAGATCACATGGTCCTCTGAAGGAAAGGGGAAGGTGGAATAAGAGAGAATAACTCCTCAGAACACTCGCCGTGGCACAGACGACGAGAAGAGGCTCAAGGTGTGTCACCTGATGAGGTGACACACCTTGAGCCTCTTCTCCTCGTTCTTAGGCGATGGCCTATGATGCGGATCGCACGCCGCTGTAACCTATCCAAAGCATCGAGCAAGTACTTGGTGGAGCCATCCCAGAGGTGCAAGCAATATTCCACGCAGGACCGCACTTGCGTTTTGTACAACAGGCACAGTTGATCGGGCGTGAAAAAACGCTGCACCTTGTTCAGCACTCCGAGTTTGCGTGAAGGTGTTTTAATCACGGTTTCGATGTAGTCCTTTGGATTCAGGTCTGAGCGGAAGTTCGCTATGTGTAGTATATATATATCGAGCATGATTATGTTGCTCTGTAGCGCCAATGTTGTGCCCTGAAAGAGAGGGAAGGGGAAGGAATGGCGATGTTTTTGCCATGAAAGTGCAAGCCTGAGTTTTCTTGGCATTGAACTCAATCAAGTTCCTGTTACCCCATTCGGAAATGCGGTCCAAAGCCTGATTAAGTTCAATGACATGATTCTCCCGTTTCTCCTTGGTTACCGCCTGCCCAACTGCTGCCTGTCCGAGATACCCCGCATGCACTGTACTATCGTCTGCATAGCAATGAATATTAAGATATAAGAGGGATTAAGTCATTGATATGCAGCAGAAAGAGAGTGGGGGGATAGGACGGAGCCCTGGGGAACGCCGGCATTCACTGACATGAACCGCGAACTGCTACCGTATCCGTAAGGACACGAATTCTACGCTCATGCAGGAGGTCAGCTACCCAAGAACAGAACTGGGCCGTATGCCGGAAGCTTGGAGAAAAGGCTTTTGTGCCAGACCCTGTCGATAGCCTCACCCCAGATATGAGTCAAGTACGCTAGAAGATCACCCGTCCATCGTTTCGGTCTAAAACCATATTGATGATCATTAATCAGGGAGTGACCCTCTAGGTAGCGGGTCAGATGGTTGTTAAGGGCCTTTTCTAGAACTTTACATAATACTGAGGTGACTGCTATTGGCTGGTAGTTTTCTGGTCTGAACGATTCCCTTTTTTGGGTACCGGTTGCACGTTAGCATCTCTCCAAGTCTCCGGCACACGCCCCAAAGAATACGGCAATTGGTACAAGCGCGTGAGCACGGGCGACAACTCCGCCGCACATTTTTTCAGTACTACTGCTGGGATGCGATCAGGTCCACTGGCTTTCCGGACATCGAGTGATTGCAATTCGGAACGAAACTCACGCTGCCTGATTTTAATATCAGGCATCGTTGTGCCACAATGAGATAATGATGGTGGTAGGGCAGATTATGGACTGTGTGATTGTAGCCTCTTAACATCAAGCATATAATATATTTCTTTTCCTGCCAACATTTTCTTCTTGTCCATTGCAAGCATTGTACATGCCAATCCAGTCCTGCCTGCAATCCCCCTAGCACCTTCATATTTGAAAGGTTCTTTGGTTAGCTAGGGTCCTTCATCCTATAGTCAGTCATTCATTCGATTGTAATCCAGAAGAGCACGTCTGTTTCCTCAGACTACTATACAAAAAAAATATAATAAAGAATGACTATGATACCTATAGAGGATTAAAGATATGAATAGATGCATTATTTATCATACTTAGTTGGTAGTACAGTATTAAAGAGTTGAGCATTAAACCCAATTATTTTACCTCATTGTTTTCAAGATGGGTACTGTTTGTTACTTAATTTCTATTCTCTTATTTCTAAACCGAAGGTTCGTATGAAATGCTGAACAAATGAGCCAGTTAAAAATCAATCATTTCGTATTTTTATGAGATGCTCGCCCAGTGTACTCATTAGGTAGGTTTATTTTAAAATTGTCTGCCCTGTGCCTGTTTGTTAGTATTGTCACCCATATTTTTCGTATTTATTAGATTTACAATGTCATTTTGTGAATTAACGCGCCCCTTGCAGCCCAGGCTAGGATATGACTCATTTGGATATAAGGGTAAAAATACCCGGACCTTAGAAACTCAAACCCATAGATAGATATCGAAAAAGCTAATGCAGGTGCAAGCAAAAACATTTCGAAAAAAAAAGCAAATAAATACTTCAAACGCGATAAATAAAATGTGCCAAATATGGCAGTTTAATAAAACTGCATAAACGATAGAATTGAAACGAGTGGCGGAAGTCCATAGTTTTTCACATAATTTTTAAGATCTTACGTGGATAATTCAAAATACGACATGCTGTAACTAAGCTCATGCGACGTCTAACGACATCTTCAAAAGCTTCACACAATCTTTAAACAATCTAATACCCAGCATTATGTTACAACAGGTTACAGGATGCCTGACAAAATCTCTAGTTATAAAACTGGCATGCAAATCGGAAACATCTCAAACGTATGACGTCGAGGTCAACTTCGCTTCGGGCGGCGGTGTCGTGCTGTGTTCCCCTTTCGATTTAACGACAATCACTAAACTCTTCACTTGAACTTCACTTCACACAACAAAGAACAGCAAACTTTGACTAGTGTTTTAAGATATGCTATGTAAAATTAAGTAAAATGCTGTCAACCTAACACCAATTTGCTGTACTAACCTACATTTCACAATAAAACATTTGAATTTAAAAATGCATCAGTTGCAAAATGATTCATTGACATATCAAAATATCTGGTTTTTAGTGTTTCATTTGATAACAGTTTAACAAACAACATTATGTGAGACTGTTATCAAATGAAACATAGCTCTATCATTACCGGACTTTTATATACCTATTATATTTTTGGTCAAATGCTAATTGTAAATTAAAAAATTCATTAAACTATACTGTGGTGTGTGGCGAACATTGATTTAATTTCAACCCTAGATGGTCATTGTTGAACTTCAATAATAATAATGGCAGCCACACACGTTCAAGTATATTTGCGCAAGTTTAGTATCCATTAACATGTATTAGAAGAACTTTGGTGAACAATTCTTCCAACACACGTTAATGTCTAATAGCTGTAACTGTAGGCTTCCATAATTTATTTTTTGCTGTATACTATGTCAGTTCCTAGGCATTGAAAAATTAAGCCGATATGGTAGAGTTTAGGTAGAAATATTAATTCCGTATAGGGACACGATACGAACGCTGAACGGCCAAAAGGTTAAAAAAAAAAAATTAATTTCGTTTACCGAGATTGTTCATATATACGGGGCCACAAATGGCGATTGATGTAAAGTATGTGGTATCCCCAATACTTTAAATTTAGAATATAAAGAAAATCTTTGATGTCAAGTTCCTGTGTACTACTCGATCTCGACAGTCGATTTGTGAGAGGGAACTGTACCCCTAGCACGAACCAATATCGAATTCGAATCGTTTGCGAGACCGAAATGTCAATGTCAAATTTTGTATGGAAACTTGAACAGCAGCGCCACAAAGTACGTAACTAGAACTAAAAATCAGTACATATTTGACAATGACATTTCGTACTCGAATTCGAATAGTGTAATTGTCAAATACGTACTGATTTTTAGTTCTCGTTACGTACTTTGTGGCGCTGCTGTTCAAGTTTCCATACAAAATTTGACATTGGCATTTCGCACTCGCTAAATATTCGAAACCAATATTGGTTCGTGCTAAGGGTACTGGATGTTATGGTCACTGTCTATTAATGCGGAATTTCGTCCTGTTTTGGCTCCTAGATTTCACGATCACGTATCTGTCTGATTCTAATATACTGGTGCTCGCCTCACACCTAGAGACTAAAGCAATAAGTTTAATCTAACTAACAGCTTTTGCATTTGGTGTTCACCTCTTTAAATAATATCACGTG